GATACCAATCACTGAATCACCTGGTAAAATACTAATCACTGAAGCACTGATAAAATACCAATCATTGAATCACCTAATAAGATACCAATCACTGAATCACCTGATAAGTTACTAATCCCTGAATCACCTGATAAGATACCAATCACTGAATCACCTGATAAGATACCAATCACTGAATCACCTGATAAAATACCAATCATTGAATCACCTGATAAAATACTAATCACTGAATCACCTGATAAGATATCCATCACTGAATCACCTAATAAGATACCAATCACTGAATCACCTGATAAGTTACTAATCACTGAATCACCTGATAAGATACTAATTACTTAATCACCTGATAAGATACCAATCACTGAATCACCTGATAAGATACCAATCACTGAATCACCTGATAAAATACCAATCACTGAATCACCTGATAAAATACCAATCATTGAATCACCTGATAAAATACTAATCACTGAATCACCTGATAAGATATCCATCACTGAATCACCTAATAAGATACCAATCACTATATCACCTGATAAGTTACTAATCACTGAATCACCTGATAAGATACTAATCACTTAATCACCTGATGAGATACCAATCACTGAATCACCTGATAAGATACCAATCACTGAATCACCCGATAAGATATCCATCACTGAATCACCTGATAAGATACCAATCACTGAATCACCTGATAAGATACCAATCACTGAATCACCTGATAAGATACCAATCACTGAATCACCTGATAAAATACTAATCACTGAATCACCTGATAAGATATCCATCACTGAATCACCTAATAAGATACCAATCACTATATCACCTGATAAGTTACTAATCACTGAATCACCTGATAAGATACTAATCACTTAATCACCTGATGAGATACCAATCACTGAATCACCTGATAAGATACCAATCACTGAATCACCCGATAAGATATCCATCACTGAATCACCTGATAAGATACCAATCACTTAATCACCTGATAAGATACCAATCACTGAATCACCTGATAAGATATCCATCACTGAATCACCTAATAAGATATCCATCACTGAATCACCTGATAAAATACCAAACACTTAATCACCTGATAAGATACCAATCACTGAATCACCTGATAAGATATCCATCACTGAATCACCTAATAAGATACCAATCACTTAATCACGTGATAAGATACCAATCACTGAATCACCTGATAAGATATTCATCACTGAATCACCTAATAAGATATCCATCACTGAATCACCTAATAAGATACCAATCACTGAATCACCTGATAAAATACCAAATACTTAATCACCTGATAAGATACCAATCACTGAATCACCTGATAAAATACCAAACACTTAATCACCTGATAAGATACCAATCACTTAATCACCTGATAAGATACCTATCACTGAATCACCTGATAAAAACTGAATATCGGTAGCTGTGTTCATGCAACACCAAATATGGCCTGTATGGCCTAATTTTTAGGATCATCTCGTATGTTTGCATATCGGCTAGATCCAATTGCAATCATGCATGGGATCAAATGTTGAGATTGTTGATGGGTAAAGTTGCATTCCCACTTTGCAAATCTGTGAGATACCATCTCTTAACTAATATGTGACCATAAAATGTTGAGATTGTGGATGGTCAGGTAAAAATTAGCTGCAGAGTATGAATTTAAGGTCTCCTAAATTAAGCTAAATTTGTAAACATCAGGCACCCTTTGTGTTAGAAGGATTTGTTTGTCTTTGAAGGTCAGTTACATTGTATGTATGTTTGGCTAAGATCCTCAAGTTCTCTCAAAATGAAATGAGGGAAAAGTAAGATCAGGATATCTACATTTTTTATATTATTTTTTTAGCTAAAACAAAATCATTTTACAAATGTAACACATCATGTTCTGAGAGTGATGTTTTACATAAATGCAAAGTGGGGATGAAACTTGAAATGCTATATTACTAACCTGCTCCACCAGATAGATTCCTAAATACATTTTCCCATGTTGTAAATACAGGCACAAGTGTAGGATATTTCCAAACTGTGTAAACTAGAATAAAACATTCATTTTCAAAATACTCATATTACTAATTTGACATTTATGATAATATTGAAATGTTCCCCTATCCTAGCAGGTGTATTATAAAATATTGGCATGTTTTGATGATAATTCAGGCATGTTCCTTTACAGAAGATTGAATCAAGTCAGGAAACAGGAAAATAAAACAAAAATTACTGCATGCCAATCACTCAGCACTATTTACGTTTTTAAGTGTATCAAAGGCTTAGACCTTTCAGTCAAAATTGGCTGCATACATTTATGTCAACCTTTGGGTACTGTTTGCAATAGTTCTTGTTCCAAACAAATTAATTAATGAAAGGGATTTCAATCACTATTTTCTGGACAAACAATTAAATTGTTGTTGATTAGGAAATCTACAACATAGCTCCAATATCTTCACATGTCTGATGTACATAATAAAAGTAAACGTGTAAGGTGCATACCAGTTAAACTTACCAGTTGGAAAGAGCTTTTTCTCAACTTCAAAGAAAATTGGGTTTTTATGAAGGCAATATACAATTACATTGTCTCCTGCATGAGAATATATCTTCATAACAGTCATTTCATCTTTATTAGGCACAACAACATTCAAATCATCCTCGGCTAAACGGGGAAATTGGTTTCTTACTTCAGAACGCAACTTCCGCCTGTGTTGAAAATATCAATTTTTAGCACAGATATTTTTGTGTTTGTAATCACAAGAGGATACATTAAATTTCTTACATGTGATTAAACAATTAAATGCACTTCAATCTGTCACATGGCACCAATGAAAAACTAAGTTTCATTATTATACGTTTTTCTCTGTATCATAAGTTATAGTCTACCATAATTTTGCATCGAGTATCTGCATCCCACCTTATAAAGAAATGCTAATTTTGTGGCTGTCTATCGCACACATTCGATCAGGTCCAAAAAAAACTGTAAGCACTGTGATTGTGTAATGGTAACACAAGAGACTATGGTAGACTGTAATACGTCGTTTATTTCGGAATACAAGTCTGGCATCAAAGTACAATTGGAACAATCCACACTAAACATGCACTAAAACACCCTTTATATAGGGTTAATAGATTACACCACGGATTTTAAAATTGGAGAAAAACGCTATGATTGGTGTGCCAAGTGAGAAGATCACTATAGAATAAACATTTCGGCTTATCCGCTACAAAGTTGCGACTTCTCTTGCGTTCGCTGTG